GCTTACCACAGTCCCTTCTGGCCACATCCAAGGCAGATCGCGCTCACTCTCAGAGAAGGGTCTTCAGTACCACAAACTAACCCCGGCGTGATCTCAACCCGGCCACCTTAGCAGTCATCAATATCCTCCAGGAAATTTTGCACATTTCCACTCTAGATATGTTGTGCCCATAAGATGTTCACCAGTGACCCGGTCACGGAACCGAATTAAAAGACGAGCATTGTTCGCTGCGGATTACTCTATTATCAAACACGGTTGTGGCGATCAAATCTAAACAAAGTAAATAACTCATCTGCACAGTTTTTGAAAAGTAAACTATCCCTTGAAATTTCCTGGACGTTTTTTGAATATCAAACAACAGTGAACGAACATTGCAAAGCACTTCCATGGTTTTCCTAGTGATCTTCATATTCTATCGGATGCGGGGCGGGGCGTGGGCAACATAGCAGAGACCAGTCACATGTTCAATCATCGGTATGCATCATCGCATCCACGCGTCGCGTTTATCTTACACCTCCTGTCATGCTTGACCTGAGAGGAGCGTCACGTTAATAGAGAAGACCAAGGAACATGCATGTTACTATCGATGAACATATCAGAAGTATATTTCAAGTTGTCAAGGCCAGGGCTCGATAAACTGATATAAATCACTGTTTAGTTGTTTGGTCCAAAATGTTGTGGGAGCCACACGATTCTGACGCACCAGTACTGCTGATTGTTTTCGGCGACCACATGAGACACGTTGAGTTGCGCGAGGAACTCCAAAATTAAGATCATTCAGATAAAAATGTATCAACAAATACTGTGCCATGAACGCAGTACGAAGGTAGTAACATTGTACAAACCTCGGATCGCCAGGCTACGTTAGCCTCTGTAAACCGATTTAGGAATAGCTAATTCCTTATATATATATACATATATATCATATTATATATACATATATTATATATTATATTATATATTCCTTATATATAAACCAACGTGGTTGGTTCAAACTAGGCGTAAGACGATGACGTAAAAGAGCGGTTTACGTTCAGGAGATTGGATATAAGCGCAAAACGGAAACATTACAATGGGGTATCACTTTGTAAACTATAAGTACAGAAGAAAGGAATCAACCAATTGTTGGGAGGATGTAGTATGGTCTCTTGTGTAAGGAATGATGGCTTTGCCTAAGGCTACTAGATTAAGTTTCGCAACGCAGGGCACCCGGCACTAAAAAGTGTTGGCAGATCGATCATGGGCTGGAGGGCGGTTTAAAAACAATGGACAACACACGTCAGCACTGTATATCGGGGCAAGTGTAAGAGGAAATAACGGAGTCGACGGAGGTGGGTGCGAAGTGAATTATGATGACAAGTGCTTGAAAATCTCCGCAACAGATTTGCACATGGGGACGCACGTGAGTTTGCAGGTTCCGGAAGGTTCCGGATTAGAGATGTGAGTGAGATACGCTTTGGTACGCTCCTTGTGAACACGTAGCAGGATGGTTTGAGCGACAAAACAACTTAAAATGATGTTGGAGGTTTCCCCATAAATACGTTTCGCGAACGTTGTAGCGTGAACTGACGTTGGGTTCCCTCGGCAGAAATTTAGGGTACGGGACGTTTCATAATGTGCATGGGAGGATGTAGTGCGGATATCGGAGGACATGTTGTATCACAGTTTTGAATGCAGGCAAGGAGGGAAATTTTGTTCAAATACGGTTTGGCAGGTCGATAACGGGAGGAAAACTCGACGTTGCGTATATTGTAGGCAGGGCGGGAGTAAGTAAAGTATGTCTGTCTGCAGATAAGACGGCGCAGTAGTTCAGGGCTTGACCCAATGCACTTTAGCCGAGGGACCAGGCCAAAGTGAAAAGCAGCAAAAGGGTAAAGCCCTGTGGAACAAGTGGCCAAAGAAAGCTCAAAGCCAGTGGGCTTTGGCCACTTTGTACAGCACAGGCCCGGAAAAGTTGAAGACGTAGAATAACTCAGGGTCCAGGTTTCTCATTTCTGTTAAGGTTATGACTCAACAAGCCATCAAGATTGGGGTTCCTAGAAGGAATCTGGAATAAGTACAAAAGGTCTTGTCATTTTGTGACAGCGAAAAAAAGAACTGGAGTCAGGGGATCACTTGAGTAAGCAATCCAGAATACTCCATAAAGTAATGACAGAGTCGCTGGCCAGCAATATATGTACTACTTCAAATCCATTGGCAAGTAGAAAGGGGCCACGGTTAAATTCAGTTATTTGCGGAGGAGCGGGAGAATCACACTACGGCGAACAACTCCGCTGGGAAATGTTGCAGTTGGGTGTTCTCGGTGATACAAGGGTTGGACAAATCGAGATGCGGGCCACCAACGCCTGTAGACCGCAATTTATCAAGGAGGGCACCTGGGATTCCTTGGCCAAATGCCTACGAATATGACGGTAGACGGGAGTGATCCTTAGCCCAGCATCGTAACCAGACGAAATGTGTCCCCTGACCACCGGTCCATAACTCCATATTTTTTATCGGTGAGGGTCTAGGTGATGGACAGTTGCCCAATGGCGGACAATGTGCTTTAGGGTATGGGAGAGCAAGCAAATATGATATCTTCCCCTGACTTAGAACTGTACCAGTGATGAGGGAAGCGTTGAAGAGATTATAGACGAAAGTGAGCATGTCCGCGCCCTCAGCCTTCAGGAGGGTTGATGGGATGCAGCCCGTGCCTTAGAAATTGGCGTCTCTGAGACGGTCGAGAGAGGAAGTTAAATCAGGTCAAGCAAATGACGGTGTGAAGAGGGTGATGTTTATTTTATCATCATGTTTGGCCATTACAGAAACATTTGGGGGGCGATCAGTCTGAAGGTTGGATGCAAAGTGCACATGGCAGCCAGCGAATTAGTTTTCAAGGTATGGGGGCCGTAGAAGTTGAGACTAGCCTTCGACATTAATCTAAACCACCATAGGCCGAAAGTGAATGGGAGTTTGTGCTGACACCGGCGGGTCTGAATAGGGCTGAAATCGCCAAAAATTCATTTGTCCCGGTGGGGAATATCTTCGACACAAGAAAGAATTGTGTGCAGTTGGCTAAACTGGCTAGTTGAGTGTGAAGCAGGGCAAGTACAAACGGATGGTTGGACTGACAGGCAAAAAGGCAGGCACCGTTTAGAGTGTCCACCAGTAGTGCATTGTCAATAGGAGAGACGTCCGTTACCGTTCCAGGTTGTGAGGCAGCCACCATTGCCGCCACGGGAACGACCAAAAGGCGGGTAAGATCAACGGGCGTGTTATGGGAGAGTCCCGTCCCAGGGACGCATATGAAGGTTAAAAAAGCCACAGCGAAGATTGCATGGATGTGTTGCAACCGTTTAGACCACCAGTAGTGCATTGTCAATAGGAGAGACGTCCGTTACCGTTCCAGGTTGTGAGGCAGCCACCATTGCCGCCACGGGAACGACCAAAAGGCGGGTAAGATCAACGGGCGTGTTATGGGAGAGTCCCGTCCCAGGGACGCATATGAAGGTTAAAAAAGCCACAGCGAAGATTGCATGGATGTGTTGCACTTTAGGTAAAAGAGGGTGGTTATTGGTTAGATGGACAGGAAAATTGCAAGCGGAATCAGAATAGGTAGTTACGGTGTCTTGCGAAAAGTTGTTGAGCTCAGGAATGTTTATGTGAAATGGTTTGGGGACAGGGAAATCAGAAGTTTCCGAATTTGTGGGCATGGTAGAGCTGGTTAAGGAGGCTTGAGAACGAAGTGTCCGGAAGTGCACTTGGCGGCGGTGCAGCTTGTAAGCATCCGTGGACGGCGGGCCACAGGCTGGGTTGGGTGACCCACTAGAACGGCCTTATACACGGCATTAAGGATGGTACCACTTATGGCAGGTGGACGAAAACAGCGAGATCGAGGCCACGCATAGTGAACAGGCCGGTGGAGATGGGCAGGCAAGACAGGAGCACTAAAAGGAGACCGGGTACGGATAGCTAAAATAGGCTGAGTGGAGGAAACGATACAAGTGGTTTATAGTAGGTGATCCAAAGGGGTGACACAGGGTACACGGAAAACGCTGGCTGTGTAAGCTTTCCATCAGAAGAGAGGAGTGGCTTCGTTGGGGATGAATAGGAATCCTCTGCGTTAGCAGATGCGGCGGCTGCACGCCCTCAATGTGAGATGTAGTGGTCTGGCTAACCAATAAGTTAGTTTACCAGGTGTGTGGCAAAGAAATAAAAATGGTTACGCTAGGCTGGGTATACAAAAATAAAGAGGTCAGACGGAACAGACTCACTAACAATTGCTCTCTTTAAAATAGTTCGTCGTTGGCCCAAGTCAGGTACCAGAGCTAGCACATGAGACTGGCGAATGACCGCTGTATGCACGAGCGAAATGAGATAAGAGAGAGTCGAAGCACAGAAGGTAACACAGGGCATCATAGGTACGATACAATTTGTGGGTGTGTAATTAAAGGTAAAAGACGCCACACAAAGGTACAAACGCCACAAAAACCACTATGAGAAGCACTGAAGTTTATCAATCCTCTGACTAAACAGAACGAAGGACCAATGAAGAACGTTGGATGATACAGGAGTTCGATCTTTGACGTTATGATCGCCACGAAGTTACATTCTGTCAAGTACTGAGATGGGTTCGACCGCTGCCAAAATTTAACAAAAATTTCAGGTCCTCAAAAAATCTGACCTGAGTGCCCACTAAGGTAGAGGAAGGCACACTGGCTTTACTAGTAAAGATTTTGTATTCTGATAGAGGCCATGTTGTCTCTGGCAGCCATCTTCGGGCTTGGATGGCGCATGGGAATTCCATCGTGTCGGCCAGATTTCGAAAAGCGCTCACAATGTTTACCGGGAAGCTCAGTCAGTTCAGTTTGATGCCTTTATTTATACTCATGGTAACTCATTATCAAGTTTCCCTAGGTAAGAATACTGAATAATGGGGGCCGTCATTTGGAATGACGCGCTTGTTTGGCTGGACTGCTTTGCTGCATACGGCGCAAACCGCTTTTTTTCTCGTGCCCGTCATGCTCGTGCTTTTTGAGACCGCTGCGGGTTATGCGGTCTTCAAGGTTCACGATGAGGCGGGCGCTCGGGAGGTGTCGGACCTGTCAAAGGCGTTTGAGGACACAACTGCGATGAGCCAATTGTGGGTGAATCGTTGTTCATCCGCTAATTCGCATCCTACAGAGTCCAGCTGGAAAAATTCGTCCAGTTTAAAGATACCAGGGATGCCCTAGCTGGTGAGTCAAATCTGCAGTCTGTGGAGATTTCCTGATGATAATTGTGGACTAGAGTCTCATATTCTAGCTTGACCGACAATAAACACGCTGATTTTTAGTCGATTTTAAGTCGGATGTCGCGCATGTCTGTTTTAGCCGTCACGGACGTTGTCGAAGGCCGGATTTCCAAGAAGCTGAAGAAGCTACTAAAGAAGTTATACGTCAAGGAACTTCGTGATGACGTGCTTGCAGTTGCCGACAAGAAGCTGTCTATGGACATTTCGGTAATTGCCTCCTATTCTGTTTTATTTGTAGTCTAAAATGAACATCTCGACTATTTCAGACTCGTCAGTTCAGAATTTGATGCGGGCTATCCGTTGTCACCTGAGTTCGTTGTTGCCAGTGGTGGACGATGGACACCTGACACGTATGCGGTTGGGCCTTGCGCACAGTCTTGACCGCTACAAACTAAAGTGCAACCCAGACAAAATCGATACGATGATCGTACAGGCCGTTGGTTTGTCTCATTGTTTCGTTTTACATCTCTGTTAGGTCTTTTGGATGAGCTGGACAAGGAAATAAACAATTATATCATGCGTACGAAGGAGATGTACGGGTGGCATTTCCCGGAACTCTCGAAAATTGTAACCGATAACGTGGCCTATGTCAAGGTAGTGAAACGAATAGGTAGGACTGATCCGTTCCGTTACACGATTAGGTCATAGGGAGAATGCAACAACTATTGATCTCAGTGACCTTGTACCTGATGACGTGTGCGCCCAAATTCGCGAGGCATCCATTGTTTCTCTGGGCACCGAAGTGGTTGACGCAGACATCGAGATGATAAACGGTATGTGCGATCAGGTCTTGGAGGTCGCTGAATCTCGCACGAACTTACAGGACTACGTCATGAAGCGTATGATCGCTGTGGCACCCAACCTTACTGCACTTGTGGGGGAACTCCTGGGGGCACGACTGATTGCTCGTGCAGGGACCCTGGTGAATCTTGCCAAACATCCTTCATCAACAGTCCAAATACTCGGTGCCGAGAAAGCATTGTTCCGCGCTCTAAAGAGTCAGCATAACACGCCGAAGTACGGGATACTTTACCACGCGTCTTTGATAAACCAAGCAGAACCTAAGTTAAAAGGGAAAATGTCTAGGATGCTGGCGGCTAAAGCATCCCTGTCCGCCAGGTTAGACGCACTTGGGGAGGAGGGTGCGGATACGGAGCTGGGTATCCGGTCACGGGCCTATCTTGAAAATAGATTGCGGCAGTTGGAGGAAGGCACTGTAAGTCTTATTGCATTTATTTGAGCATCGTTTTAGTTCAACCCACGAATTTCCGGCGTTAAACGCAAATGGGAAGGAGTCTCAAATCACGTCACTCCCAAGTCTGAACAAAAGGGGGAGCGGAAAGGATTCAAGCCGAAAAGACTCAAAACTGAGCAATCTTGATTATTTTGCCATTTTGTAAATATATATCCTGCATAAATGCTGCCTCATGGCTTTGGTTTTCCCGGGGTATAGGAATTTTGTGGCTTCAGGGTGGCCATTGATTTGCTTTCGCTATTACTGCTACCTCATCGCTGACGATCCGTGGTACATTAACGCTGAAGATATCGTCGGAGAAGCTATGGCGTTGAGTTCGCTTTCCATCCTAGGAGGTAGGTGTATGACATACGGCCGTCTTATCGGCTTTACTTCGTTGGTGTTTCTACCACGCTCGAAGGTGATAGTCGGTTGTTCGGCTATGATTTGTGGATGGTCCCTTATAAAGAGCGCTCATTTCAGCTCGATGATTAGTTATCCGGACTTGAGTGTGAGTAGCTTTTCCGGTTGCGACATCATAAGAGTGGCATCTGGTATGTCGTTCACTGTCTGCGCGCTGCCTGTCGACAGTAGTGTGGTCGCCCGGAACAATTCGGCTCGATTGTGCAAGGGTGAGTTTCATATAGCTCTCTGGCTTCAATGTGAAAGAGTTAGTGTCCTCCATTAGAAATCGCAAATTTGGCTAGCTTCCGGTTTGCTGTTGCGATTCAATTTGCTATATGTCACGTCAGAATGCTCTTCATATCTAGAGCAATAGCCTCCGCTTTCCAGATGTGATAAATTAGTGCAAGAAGGCTGAGTGGTCACGTTTTATGTATGTGCGGACCTCATCTCGACCGCACCCGCCTAACCTTGATGAATCTGGCCGTATCTCAACCCTCATACATATTTCATGTGACGTAGCACCCACACACCGAAGGGATGCTTCGGCTGGATGTTTTTTTACTGCCCGTTAACTGCCGCATGACGTCTGCTTCGTAGTGGTGCTCCCACTCGCTCAACCGGGCTACAGCAGGCTGCTAGCTCTTCGTTTGGGGGTGGATGGCCAGGGTGTGAACATGATTCCAGTTGAAGAAATTGGACTAGGTCACCAGTGGTCATAGTTGATGTGCAGTTTTGTCGTTGTTGGCCTGTTTTCTGCTGCCTTATAAATATTTCTGCCTCCCGGTTCGGCATGCGCTTCACACCTGCAAAGTGTAAGTTGGTATTGTAAGAGTGGATAGACTCGAGTCTATAGTTGTTATAGGATTTTGCCCTATCTTTGGGGCGAGATGGTCCAAGTGGTTGGAGCGCGTGGTACTGTAAGAGTGGATAGACTCGAGTCTATAGTTGTTATAGGATTTTGCCCTATCTTTGGGGCGAGATGGTCCAAGTGGTTGGAGCGCGAATTTACTGACCAGAAGGTCCGTGGTTCGAACCCGGCCTCTGCCACTCGACTTCCCCTGTCTAGGCCTGGGCGACCTGGCAGTATCCCAGCCCTCGTGCTTCCTTCGGGTGGCATGGTAGCTAGGCACCGGAAGGGTGCTACAGCTGAACGATTTTTTTTCCATCTTTGAAATAAAGCTGGATGTCACGCGATACGTTATATGCTTCAGGTTGGTGAAAGCCGTCGTAGATCCGACAAATCGTTTTGGAATTTCGTTCGATAATTACAAGTTCTGTTGTATATTCACGCATTGCAAACAGGAGGGTAGTGCAGCATCTGGTGTGTGATCATTATTGCTTTATCTGGAGCGGTATTATGACATTCACTGAACCTCTTGCACAGGCTTGGCCGGGTGAATACAGCTACCAAGTCAGGTTGGAACACGCACGAGTACTTGTTCCTCAGGAAATGAACTGCTTTGGTAGTGCGTTATATGAAAATCTATCCCTACCCTAGCAACGACTTTCATAGTGTAGCTGTAAACATCTGTTGTACGGAAGGAGCACTCATGTGGTCCTCACAGACCAATCTTACGATGATCGGAAATTCTCCTTCCGTACCATTGCTGCCATGCCACCCGAAGCAAACAAGAGGGCTGAGATACTGCCGGACTCGAACCACAGACCTTCCGGTCAGTAAATTCTAACTTTAACCGTTGAACCACCTCGAGACTTGGCCCGTCCGCAACAACCGTAAGCCTCGTGTGATCTCTTGGCCGTTGGATGCAAAATTTCTGGTGTTGTTGCACCCGCCAGGTGTTATTCTTATACTTGTATGAATGATTATTTCCAGGGTCATGTGAACAATGGCATGGACATTATATGGCCTGCTTCAGAAGTTGGGTTGGTGCCAGCTGCTCGTTACAATCTTGGGGTGTTTTGTAACAAAACTAGAAGTTCGTAAACCCAACCTGAGATGATCGTTAAAGTTCGCGATGCGTGTTTTGCTGTTCAACTGTTGGATGTTGCCCTGATAGCATCCTAATCACACTCCCGATCATAGAGTACGTGTTCTCGAGCAGTTAAGTCCACAGATACCCATTAAGTACTGAGGCTACGATAGTTTGGACCTGAAGTGGATGCTTGTAATGATAGTTCCCAAACGTTCCACTTATTGTGTGGTACAACAGCAATCGGTTTGCAAAATTAAAAAAGCTAAATAAATATTACTTTCGCTTAAGGGGCTCACGAATAACGCAATCGAATGAGAAGTCCCGACGTGGTTTAAACGTTTGTACGTGGGGTGTGTTACTGTCAGGACGCCCACATCTAGACGGGAGGATGAGTAAGGTCCTCGGCCACAGCCTGACTGCAAGGCAGTGGGGTTTTGCGGAAACTCCAGGTATACTACCATTTTTATAGAACAAGTCGCCACACATGTTCCAACCTGAAGTGTAGAATACCGTCAGTCAAACCTCTTACTAATGACCAACATGATCGCAGAGATTCTTCGAGTGTCACGAATACTCTTCAGTATAGCTCAATGGGTCGTGGAGACCCATAAACCTTCACACCGCGGTTAGGTCCAGTCCCTTCTTGCAAAGACTCGATAGGAACTGTTGATTCTTCACCGACTACTGCAGGCAACGACGGTTTAGGAGCTTGCACAGAGCGGTGACTTATTTTGTTTGTAGCTATCACGAATAATCGTATTTATGAAATGGTCAGTAGTAGGAAAGCGTCTTCTTTGTATACAATTCACCAAGTGATTCCTTCCAGTTAAACCACAGTTCTCCACACTATCCATCCTTTCCACGATGCTTCCTAAAAACCCACCATCAATCGAGCTCAGACCTATATATGTCTGCAGTTAGGGCGCAAATTTACTGACTACAGGGTCCGTGGTTCGAACCCGACCTCCGCACTTCGACTTCCCCTGTCTTCGGCTTGGGTAACCTGGCAGTATCCCAGCCATCGTGCTTCCTTCGGGTAGCATGTCAGCTAGGTACCGAAAGTGTGCTATAAGTAAACGGAAACCGAATCGCTCTGGTCCGTATGACATTCTCACACCCAATGCAAACCTCTCCTTGATCACAGCATTTCCACTATCATAGAACTCGGCTTTCTCTGAGGTTTCCCTCCTCGCATACCTAGTCAGCTGCATCTTGTCTGTTTATGTCAGCCGTTATTTGAGCTTTCGTTTTCGCCCACAAACTAAGTCACGTGCACTTTTGGAGTATGCTGGAATCACATGCCTTTTGGTTGCAGCTCCGGACCTAATGTAATTTGGCTTACAGTAGCTGAATCTAAAGGACCCGTGGTTCAAAAGGCTCATATTTCGACAGACGCCCACGCAGGGGCGAGATGGCCCAAGTGGTTAGAGCGCAAATTTACTCACCGGAAGGTCCGTGGTTCGAATCTGACCTCCGCCACTCGACTTCCCCTGTTTAGGCTTGGGCAACCTCTCAGTATCCCACCCTCGTGCTTCCTTCGAATGGCATGGCAGCTAGGCACCGGAAGGGTGCTACAGCTGAACGCCAAGCGAACTATATAACCTTGCAACATGCTTAGACCTTCTTGTTGTTAGTCATATCCATGTAGTCTGCCTCAAATGACACCCCGCTGAATAAAGCCTAGAGCACTGTTGGTCGGAAGCTGGCGACAAAGATTCCCCGTCGCCCGCGCCCCACCCCACCCAACTGGAGTTTCACTGTGTTCCTATGCCGGATGAAACTAGGGTTGAAACCTTGAAAATAAAACGTCGCTGTAGTCATTCAACACATACAGTTCGATTTCAGTCTTTTCTTGATTCGCTACACTGACCAAATCTTGGTTATTGCACTCGAACTAAGCAAGTGGAATTGACCAAAGTCCAGATGACCCAAAACCGTCACGAAGAGACTGGACCTTACCGTGGTGTGACGGTTTGCGCACCTCAGCGATCCATTGAGCTATACTGGAGAGTGTCCCGCGACACTCACAGAGTCTCTCATACCAGGTTGGTCAATGGTTAGAGGTCTGACGAACACAGTCTCCTGGCCCTCCAGGTTGGGGGTTGGAACATGTGGCGACTTGTTCCGTAGAAATGGTAATGCATTTGCATTTCCCGCCAAACACCGCTACCTTGCGGTTAGGCTTTTGAGCCAAAGGCTTTGGTTGAAGACCCTAATCGTCCCCTGGCAGTATCCCAGCCCACGTACAACCATGAAGTGCGGCAGTGAAGCATCGGTTTTGAACACTGATGTCATGCTGTCCATGATGATGATGATGATGAGATGACCCAAAAACTTGGGGGAAGATCACAGAAAGCCGCCGCTCTGTAACTTTCTTCTGGTTTGATGATGCGTACTTCCAAGTTTCAGGCCCACAAGGTCTCTTGTTATGACGACAATCTGGAGGGTTAGTTCGTCTAGTGGGTTGGCCGAAAGTAACGGTGTATGGTTTACGTTGCCGGTATCATATTCCCCGAAGGCTGTTCGCCCCGGTGTATTGGCTGCAAGAAGCCGGGGCCCTCGTTCTCCGGGCTGATTCGAGCACACTGGCCTTGTTTTGGGGTGACTACAGTCGATCACAAAAGCTTAAGATATCTTTTTGGACACGGGTTGGGATCAACGCAACCACTGCAGTAGGAGACCGCAACTGTAGCTAGCGGTGGTGCCGCAGATGGGCCTCAGGTTTCTTGGTATCGCTTCGCAGTTTGGCTGTTCAGACTCGTTAGAAACGAACTAATCAGCGTACGCAGTCAGATGACGTACGCTGTT